TCCCCTATTTCCCCCCAACTGACCCCAGTGTGTAGTGCTCCCCTCCCTGTGTCCATGTGTTCTCATTGTTCAACACCCGCCTGTGAGTGAGAACATGCGGTGTTTGATCTTCTGCTCTTTTGTCAGTTTGCTGAGAATGATGGTTTCCAGGTTCATCCATGTCCCTTTTTTTTAAACGAAAGCTCTAACTTTGTGATGTAATGAGGTGTGGTGATGAAGGACCCAGCCCTGGCATCAGACCACGTGGTTTGAATCTCAGCTCTGCTAGTCACGCAGCCGGGGCTGCGTTTCTTCATTTCTCAGTGCCTCCATTTCTTCATCTCTGAAATGGGGTTAGTAATAGTCCCGGTTACTGTGAGCCTTAGATGAGATGGTGAGCGGCAAATGATGCCTGGTTCTTCCCGACAATGGCTACCACTTTCTGAACACCTGTACATCACTACATGCCTGGCCTGACTTGGCTGGGCTCTAGAGCATGGGTGCTTTTGACCACACTACTCTGTCTCCTGACAGCACCTATGTCGTTTGCTCCTGAACTATTTGAAATGTCAGGAAGACGAGACTTTGTCCTTGGACAAGTGGCAGAAGGCTAGGGTGTAGCTAAGTTATCAGGATGCTTCCTCTCTTTCCAAATAGGGTTTCCCTAGACCACCTAGCCCCACGGTGCTCTAAGAAAGAATCATCATAATTCCAGCCTCCTTTCCTCCCCCTGGGCCCCAAACCTCTCCATCTGCTCCAGGTGCCCCGATCAGTGGCAGAACCATCATTATGTAAATGTCTGTGCAAATGCACTGTCATCAAGCACCAGTTCTCCAGCGAGGCAGGACTACCTCCTGACACCATCACTTCCCAGCCATGGGGCCCAGGGCAAGGACCGTCTGCTTCCTGTTCTTCCTGCTATGGGTCCTGGCTGAGCTGGCTGAGAACTCGGACTTCCACCTGCCGGGGGATTACCTCCTGGGTGGCCTCTTCACCCTCCATGCCAACATGAAGGGCACTGTCCACCTCAACTTCCTGCAGGTGCCCATGTGCAAGGAGTGAGTCTCCAGTGGGGGCTGGAAGTGGCAGTGGGGATGGGGTGGGAAGCCAGGGCTGGTCCTGTGGTCCTTGGGAGCCAGGCCAGGACCAAAGGCTTAGAGCACTGCTCCCCATTCATTGCCAACCCCCTTATTCTGGATCCATGCCCCTAGCCCCCAGGGAGGCCTTATACAGTGCGTGATACCAAAATCTTTGGCGATTGTGTTCTGAAACACTGAGGTTTGGGTCATCTCAATGTCATTTTTTTTAAAAATTGAGTTGCAGAATGTTTGAGCCTAGAGGGCCATCAAAACTGCCCCACCCACTTTGGCAACTGGGAGGACTCCCAAAGGGTCCATATCAAAGCTCATTCAAAAAACCTTTGGGAGGCAGAATGTGATTTTTCTGTAGCAGGTTCTCAGACTGCATTTTCCAAGGGCTGTGGTTGGGTGGGTATGGGTGCTTTTGGGCCTAGACGGAAGTTCCTCTTCCCTCACCTCCTCCACGAGCCCCTTGGGATGGCAGCATCACTTGGAGATTGTGGGGGGTGGGTGCATCTGCATGCAAGCATGAAGGCTGGGACATGGAGCCAGCCTGGGACTATAAAACAGTGACCTCTTGCAGAGAGGGTGAAGGTATTGTGGGAGACAAGGAGAAAGGCAGGACAGTGCAAAAGATGATTAAGCGTTGACTATAAGAAATGCATCATTTATGACATTGGGGAAGACTGTATGCTGACTTGAGAATGGTGAAGGTTATGGCACCAGAACAAGGCTGGATTTTCTAATGCTTGTGATCATGGCGGGGAGTGTAATGATGATGATGAATGTAATGGTGGTGATGCTGATAATGTTGATAACAGTAATACTGGTGATGATGACAATGATAAAGAGTATGGTGGTGATGATGGTGATGGTAGTGATGATGGTGATGGTGGTGGTGGTAATAGTGTTGGTAATGATGGTGCTGGTAGTGATAATGGTGACCGTTGCAGTGATGATGGTGATGCTATCAATGATAGTGTTGGTGATGATGGTGATGGTGGTGCTGATGATGGTGTTGGTGGTGTTGATGGTGATGCTGGTGATGGTGCTGGTGTTGGTGATGATGGTGATGGTAGTGATGTTGGTGATGGGGGTGGTGATGATGGTGCTGATGGTGCTGATGATGGTGATGTTGGTGATGGCAGTGATGATGGTGATGGTGGTGATGGCACTGATGATGATGATGGTGGTGATGGTGATGGTGGTGATGATGGTGATGGTGGTGATGGTGGTGGTGATGGTGGAAATGGTGGTGGTGATGATGGTGATGATGGTGCTGATGATGGTGATAGTGGTGATGGTGTTGGTGATGGCAGTGATGATGGTGATTGTGGTGATGTTGGTGATGGAGGTGGTGATGATGGTGATCGTGGTGATGTTGGTGATGGAGGTGGTGATGACAGTGATGGTGGTGATGATGGCACTGATGATGGTGATGGTGGTGATGGTGTGGGTCATGGCAATGATGATGGTGATGGTGGTGGTGATGGTGCTGATGATGGTGATGGTGGTGATGGTGTTGGTGATGATGCTGATGGTAGTGATGTTGGTGATGGTGGTGGTGATGGTGGAAATGGTGGTGATGGTGGTGATAATGATGATGGTGCTGATGATGATGGTGATGATGTTGGTGATGGCAGTGATGATGGTGATGGTGGTGGTGATGGTGGAAACGGTGGTGGTGATGATGGTGATGGTGGTGATGATGGTGCTGATGATGGTGATGGTGGTAATGGTGTTGGTGATGGCAGTGATGATGGTGATGGTGGTGATGTTGGTGTTGGGGGTGGTGATGATGGTGATGGTGGTGATGTTGGTGATGGGGTGGTGATGGTGGTGATGGTGTTGGTGATGGCAGTGATGATGGTGATGGTGGTGATGTTGGTGATGGGGGTGGTGATGATGGTGATGGTAGTGATGTTGGTGATGGGGTGGTGATGGTGGTGATGGTGTTGGTGATGGCAGTGATGATGGTGATTGTGGTGATGTTGGTGATGGGGGTGGTGATGATGGTGATGATGGTGATTGTGGTGATGATAGTGATGATGGTGATGGTGATGGTGGAAATGGTGGTGATGATGGTGCTGATGATGGTGATGGTGGTGATGGTGGTGATGGTATTGGTGTGGCAGTGATGATGGTGATGGTGGTGGTGATGGTGGAAATGGTGGTGGTGATGGTGGTGATGATGATGATGATGGTGCTGATGATGGTGATGGTGGTAATGGTGTTGGTGATGGCAGTGATGATAGTGATGGTGATGGAAATGGTGGTGATGATGGTGGTGATACTGGTGGAGATGGTAGTGGTGCTGATAGTAATAGTGGTGGTGGTGACAGAGATGGTGGTGGTGACAGAGATAATGGTAGTGATGATGGTCACAAGGTTGTGTGACAGTGATGGCAGTGGTGGTGATATTGGTAATAGGGATAGTGGGTGATGATGGTGATAGAGGTGATGGTGATGATGGAAGTTATAGTGGATAATGGTGGTCACATTGGTGGACATTGGTAGAGCGGTGATGGAGGTTATAGTGATCACAGCCACATGGATAATAGTGTCAGTAGTGGCCACATGGGCAATGGTGACCCTAGAGATGTGGCATGGTGACAGTGACGTGAAAATTCCAGAGTCTTCTGGAGTGGTTCCTTTTCAGCCAATGCCTTGGCTTTCCTGTGGCAGGGAGGAGGAGTGGGCTGGTTCTCTTATCCCCGCCTTCCTCACTCTGAATCTACTTCCACCTCATGCTGCTGTGGCCCCTCCAGGTATGAAATGAAGGTGAGTGGCTACAACCTCATGCAGGCCATGCGCTTCGCGGTGGAGGAGATCAACAATGACAGCAGCCTGCTGCCTGGTGTGCTGCTGGGCTACGAGATGGTGGATGTGTGCTACATCTCCAACAACGTCCAGCCAGTGCTCTACTTCCTGGCACAGGAGGACAGCCTCCTTCCCATCCAAGAGGACTACAGTAACTACGTGCCCCGTGTGGTGGCTGTCATTGGCCCTGAAAACTCCGAGTCTGTCATGACTGTGGCCAACTTCCTCTCCCTCTTTCTCCTTCCACAGGTGAGGCCCCTGGGCCCTGGAGAAGGACCTGGGGAGGAGGGCAGAGGAGTGGCTGTCTAGGGGCCTCAGAAGCCACTTCCTCCATCAATCATGGGAGGTGATGCTAGGATCAGAAACAGGATCAGGACATCAGCCCGAATCTTGAGAAGGTAGCAGCTTATGGCATAAGAGCTCAGGCTTTGGGGGGACAGATCTGGTTGTGCAACTTGGCACTGAATCTTGGCCACAGTGAAGCCTTTGGCAAATCTCTTAACTCTTCTAGGCCTCAGTTTCACCACCTGTGAAGTGGGATGATAAGCGTTCCATCCCAGAACTGTCTGAAGATTAGTGTTCAACCTGTGTAAGTTTCTAGCACACAGTAGGTAGTCAATAATTTTTTTTTCTGATGGAGTTTCGCTCTTGTTGCCCAGGCTGGAGTGCAGTGTTGTGATCTTGGCTCACCACAACCTCTGCCTCCCAGGTTCAAGCGATTCTCCTGCTTCAGCCTTGCAAGTAGCTGGGATTACAGGCATGTGCCGCCACACCCAGCTAATTCTGTATTTTTAGTAGAGATTGGGTTTCTCCATGTTGGTCAGGTTGGTCTTGAACCTCCTGACCTCAGGTGATCCACCTGATGTGACCTCCCAAAGTACTGGGATTACAGGCATGAGCCACCATGCCCAGCCTCTCAATAATGTTTTTATAAAGCATCTTGCACAGGAATAAAAACTTGAAGTGCCTAATATTATTTGGTATGCACAAAGTCTGTGCCATAGTAGGTCCTCATAAAAGGGTTATTTGTATGATTACTAGTATTATAACTATTATCATCATCATGATTGAAAGTGCCCAGTGCAGTATGGGTACAGACTACATATTCATTCAAGATCAGCTAGCAAAAGACTTGGCACACAGTAGGTAGTCATGAATATTGTGATTGTTACTGTTTAATGTTAGTACTTTTACATGAAGCATCTAGCTGAGGACTGAATTCATTCTTTCATTCATGTAACAGATATTTATTGAGCACCTACTATGTGCCAGGCACTGTTGTAGGTGCTGGGATATAGCTGGCAAGAATATGGAAATCATTGCCCTCGTGGAGCTTCTCTTCTAGTGGGGAGAGACGGAGAATAAGTGTAAACAATAAGTGAGGTAGGATGTCAGAGGTGAGACGTGCAATGAATAAACTAAAAATGTGGGCAGGGTAGAGGGGACCTGGCACGTTGATGGAAAGGAGGAGTTGGTAGAGGGAGATTGCAGTTTTCAACAGGGTGGTCAGGTGGGTCTCACTGACAATTGGGCAAAGACTTGAGGGAGGTGAAGGAGTGATGGGGCCGGGAGGGATCTAAGAGAAGAGCACTCCAGGAAGAGACGTTAGCAAATGCCAAGGCCAGGAGGTGCCTGGCATGTTGGCGGAACTGGAGCCGGAGAGAGAGGAGAAGGAGATGAAACCAGACAGGCCAGGGCTATGCAAAGAAATGTTGGAGGCCTTAGTGGCCATTCAACGACTCCGGCTTTTCCTGAGTGATGTTAGGAGCTATTGAGGGGTTCTGAGAGGAGCAGTAAAGTGACCTGACACGCGTGTGAGCAGGATCACGGGCTGCCACGTTCAGCGTAGACTGTAGGGGAAAGTGGGTGTGTCATGTTGCAGTGTAGGCCAGAGGTGATGGTGGCTGGACAGCAGGGAGCGCGGAGCTGGCAGGCGCTGGATGGATACATTTTGAAGGCAGAGCCAAGGGGATTTGCTGATGGATCCACTGTGACCTGTGTGTGAAAGAAGAGTAAAGGGCGACTCCAGAGTTTTTGGCCCGCGTCACTGGAAAGATGGATTCGTCATCAACCTAGATGGGGGAGGGTGTGGGTGGAACAGGCTCAGAGGAGAGCAGGGCTTTGGGTTGGATTTGTGAAGTCCGAGACGTCAGGCAGGCAGGTGTGGTATGCGTCTGGAGTTCAGGGGAGAAGTCCAGGCCAGGGCTGTCCATTGGGAGTTGTCGGTGTAGAAATGGGATTTGAAGCCATGAAGCTGGTTGGGACCACCAAGGGACGGGGAGAGCAGCTGGAGACAAGACAGGGACCGAAGCCTGAGCCCAGAGTCCTCCAAGGCTAAGAGGTCATAGAGAAGGGAAGGAACCAGCAAAGGAGATGGGACACCCAGTGAGTTGGGAAGAAAACCACGGAGCACTGGAAACGGAGGGAAGAAACGTGTCCATTTGATGAGCCTGATGGTGATGAGGGCAAGGGGGAAGCACTGTGCTCAGTAAGAATTTCTAGGTAGTGGGGATGATGGGGATGTCACTCACCTAGCCCAGGATGTGGTTCTCACTAAAAGCCAGTGTGCTGATGACTATGAGGATGATGATGTATATGGCTTGGCCCAGGGTGTGGTACACAGTAGGTGCTCAATAATCATGATGATGCTGGGGCCCGGCACACAATAGGTTCTTATTGCATGTAGCTACCTACAGACCATGATGGTGTAAACAACCTCCTTCTGGGGTGGGTTGCACTAGGTGCTTTCCGAACGATGATGGTGGATAGAGCCCTGGGGTGGGGGAGAGCACCCAGTGAGGCACTCGCTCATGCCGCGGCCCCTCCCCTTGCAGATCACCTACAGCGCCATCAGCGACCAGCTGCGAGACAAGCAGCGCTTCCCAGCCCTGCTGCGCACCGCGCCCAGCGCCAAGCACCACATCGAGGCCATGGTGCAGCTGATGCTGCACTTCCACTGGAACTGGATCAGTGTGCTGGTGAGCAGCGACACCTATGGCCGTGACAATGGCCAGCTGCTGGGCGATCGCCTGGCCGGCAGCGACATCTGCATCGCCTTCCAGGAGACGCTGCCCACACTGCAGCCCAACCAGGACATCATGCCAGAGGATCGCCAGCGCCTGGTGAGCATCGTGGAGAAGCTGCAGCATAGCACGGCGCGCGTCGTGGTCGTGTTCTCGCCCGACCTGACCCTGTACGACTTCTTCAGGGAGGTGCTGCGCCAGAACTTCACAGGCGCCGTGTGGATTGCCTCCGAGTCCTGGTCCATCGACCCGGTCCTGCACAACCTCACGGGGCTGCACCGCACGGGCACCTTCCTGGGCATCACCATCCAGAACGTGCCCATCCCAGGCTTCAGCGAGTTCCGCGTGCGGGGCCCACAGGCCGAGCCGACCAACCAGAGGTCTACCTGCAACCAGGAGTGCGACACCTGCTTGAACTCCACCTTGTCCTTCAACTCCATTCTCAGGCTCTCCGGGGAGCGCATCGTCTATAGTGTGTATTCTGCGGTCTACGTCGTGGCCCACGCTCTGCACAGCCTCCTCGGCTGTGACCACAGCGCCTGCACCAAGAGGGTGGTCTACCCCTGGCAGGTGAGGGCCCCAGGGGGTGGTTGCCACCGAGACTGCAGAGCACCTCCATCCTCCTTCCTTGGGGTTCTGGGCAAATAAGTGTGAAAGGCCACGGGCATCCCGTTCTTCCTGACGCATAGCGCTAGTCCTCCCTGGTCCCAAAACAAAATTGCTTTTTACATTAATTTAACCCTCAGCATCCAGGATAGTTTGTTCTTGGAGATTCAGGTAGAATTCTGCAGAAGGAAATCCCACAGGCAGCAGGAACAGCAGCCCCCCTCCCCTCTCCAGCCTTTCCGCAGTTGGGAGTCCGGGATGGGCTTGCGTTTTCCCCTGGACCCTGCAAGGCCTTTCATCGCTTTTATGGATCTTCTCATGACCCTAGCTCTCTATCACTGCGGTTCAGACGGAGACTTCAGCTCTGTTCTTCTGGTTTAGCACACACATCCACATTCACAGGCACACACAGAAACCCCCTACCACGAAGCATGCTGGGATATAGAAGGTTTTATTGAGGATCAGAGGCGCAGAGGGGATTTACATTAGAGAGACACACTTTATAGTTCGCTATTAGAGATCTCTGTTCTTAAACAATTGCTTGGCTTTTCACAGTTCAGAGCCAGCCTTCCACTCTTGCTCAGCCTCCTCCCCAAGCCCTGCCCATCTCCCCTCTTCGTTCTCTCCTTTCTCCCACCTGCTGCATCCCTCTCCCATCCTCAAATAACTCTTCACTTCCTTAACAGAGCAAATTCGTTTGCTCTGAAGAACTTCTCTTTCTCATTCTGTTTAATTGTACCTCTCTATCCCATAACCTCAGACCCTAAACTTGCAACCTTGAACGTTTTTCTTTTAAAAGATTGCAGTTATTCTTTAAAATGAATTCTGCTGCCAGTTGGTAAAAATGCTGTGTATTGCTGTATGTCCTGTTACATTAATAATATACATAATGATCATGGGTGCTTTACTGCTCTGTGAGTGCCTACTAGGCACTGAATGCCTAGCATACATCACATCTAACTCGTGACCATCCTGTGAGGATAATCTACAGGTAGAAAAACTGAGGGACAGGAACTCAAAGTGACTAGCTCTTGATTGTTCAGTGGTAAGTGGCAGACCCTGACTTTGAACCCATGTCTGGCCCATTCTGCTGTGGTTTTCCCACTTCACCTTCTGAGCATCCTTCCAGCTGCAACTGGCAGGAGCTATGATGAAAGACAGTTGACTCTCCTTCTCCCAGCAGTAGAGACGAAAGGGCACCAATCATAGCAACCAGGGTGCTCTATCCCTTTTGTTGAGCACCTACTATGTGCCAGGCCTGGGGGACCCCCCACCCTAGGAGGAGATGTCTGCCAAGTGCACCAGGAAGTCAGAATTGCAGCTGTGCACAGGGCAGGGCGTCATCATGGTGGGAGAGGGTCACGGAAGGCAGGACTGACGTAGGGAGTGGGCAGGCACTGGAGCTTCCAGGAGGAAAGGGGGAGAGTGGGGGCCACATGGTTGGGCTCATGTGGCCAAGACTGAGAGGCTACAGGAAGTGCAGGTGATACTGGAGGGCATCTAGTGCCGGATGGAGAGGGGGCTTTGTCCTAGAGGCAGCAGTTCATAGAGAGTTCCAAGCACCAAGATGAGGTTCTTGAGACACCTCAACAAGCCAATTTAGGGCTGTGGTTGGGGATGATGAAGTCAAGAAACAGGAAGCCCAGCCCCCCCCCATGTAGGCTTTGCCCAGGGTCTCTGCTGGCATCAACGACATCCTTGTGTGAGTTAGAAGATGATGTCCTTTTGTGCAGACAAGTTAGAACAAGATGCTCTTTGCTTCGGTTGGACGCAAAGTGTGGCTTGGTGGCCTGAGTGGGCTGGACTCCAGCTGTTCCTCCCAGTTGTCCTAACTGGACCCACTCGTGCAGGGCACAACCTGCAAAATGGTCTGTGGTGTCCTTCCTACCTCCCATCCCCCTTGCCGGGTCACACCACGACACCGTTTATTTTGGTCATAACGTTTCCCAAATTGTTACTGCGTTGATTTTCTTTTTTTGTTTGATGGCTATTCCCCACACCTTCCAAACAGCCAGCCAGTGAGAGCAGGGACCTTGTCAATCCTTTCCGATGCGGTATCCCAAGTTGCTGCCACTGGTCTGGCTTGGAGTCGATTCTCAGTGAATATTGAATGAATGAATGACTGGGCACTTATTATGTTCCGGACACTGTGTTCACCTCTTTATTTGAATTCTTGGTTACCCTCAGATACCCGATGAGCAGACGCTCATCGGGCTAAGAGGCAGGGAGGAATGGAACGGAATGGGAGGGCTGCGGGAGGCGTGGCAGGGGAATCAGGAGGAAGTGGCAGGAAGGTGGACGTGGGGCAGTGGTGGGCACCGGGGCAGGGCGCGCTGACCTGTCCTGGGGCCCGGGCTGGGGGCGGGAAGGCGCTTGCCCGCGCTCTCCCGCCATGGCAGGTGCCATGCATCCTCGACTCAGCTGCCATGGCAGGCCTTCCGGCTCCATCTCCAGGACAGGCGGTGCAGGGCATATTGGTATGCAGCGTCCGCCCCGTGGGCCCGGGAGAGCCTGCCCCGCAGGGCCAGAGCCCAAGGACGGGCTCAACACTCAGTCAAGGTGGGGTTGACGATGGCCAGACCACAGGGGAGGAGGGACAAGAGGGTCCCCACTTCCAGGAAGTGGGTGCTCTCCCATACACAGGTGAAACTGAGGTTCGGAGAGGTGACAGGCACCCAGCTAGGGAGTGGCCGGGGGTGTTGGTGATGGATGGTGATGAAATAGTGCCGAGGTAGTGGGGATGGGCACCCCACGAGAGGCAAGGCAGAGAGGCCTCAGGGGTGATGAGGAGAGTGGGAGATGGCGCTGGGCGGATGTGCTGCCCGTGGTGATGGTGGTGGTGGGGTGAGATCAGTGGGAGGTTGGGTAAATCCAGGCTGGCAAATTTGTGGCCATCCCAGTAAAAATGTTCAGCAGGTACTTGAATCATAGAGAGCCCACTCCCTGCACAGCCTCCTCGGCTGTGACCACAGTACCTGCACCAAGAGGGTGGTCTACCCCTGGCAGGTCAGGGCCCCAGGGGGTGGTTGCCATAGAGACTTCAGGGCACCTCCATCCTCCTCCCTTGGGGTTCTAGGCAAATGGGTGTGAGGAGCCATGGGCATCCCTTTCTTCCAGACACATAGCACTAGTCCTCCCTGGTCCCAAAAAGAAATTGCTTTTTACATTAATTTAACCTTCACCATCCAAGGTAGTCTGTTCTTGGAGATTCAGGTGGAAGTCAGCAGAAGGAAATGCCACAAGCAGTGGAAACCGCAGCCCCTCTTCTCCCCCAGCTTCTCCAGTGTTGACAGCCTGGGATGGGTAAGGGTTGCGAGGTTCTCAGGTTCTGGTCCAATCCTTCTATTTCACAAATGGGGTCCTTGGCACTGGTCTGGCTCTTCCCCCCACCCCTCTCTCCATCTCTGTCCGCCCCTCGGGCATCTCAGATATGGCCCACCTTTTTGTATATGGTGAGGCAGGTGGTGGTGAGCTGGGCAGAGCTCAGCAATCAGAGCTGGATTGGAATCCCAGTGCTGCCCTACTAGCTGTGCAAACTTGGGCAAGTTTAATATCTCCGAGCCTTGGTTTTCTCATCTGTTAAATGGAAGGAATCATATACTCTGCTGAGTTATTGAGGGGATTTGCAATCATGTACGCAAATTACCTGGGGAGGCTGAATGAGCTCCTCCTCTTCCTCTTCTTCCTCAGACTCCGAGTCCTGCCCTCAGGAGGGAGTGGTGGGCTGGAGAGGTGGACATGAGTCTGCCTTAGATGTACAGCCTATGCTGAGGCAGGGGTGGGGCTATATGGGGAAGGGGAAACGGGGTTCAACCTAACGGGGGAACCCCAAGATGCCTAAGCCCCTGCCAATAATAGTCTAGGCTCCAGTCAGGCATGGTGACTCACGCCTGTAATCCCAGAACTTTGGGAGGCCAAGGCAGGGGGATCACAGGGTCAAGAGATTGAGACCATCCTGGCCCACATGGTGAAACACTGTCTCTACTAAAAATACAAAAATTAACTGGGCATGTAGTGGGCACCTGTAGTCCCAGCTACTTGGGAAGCTGAGGCAGGAGAATCACTTGAACCCAGGAGGCAGAGGTTGCAGTGAGCCGAGATCACGCCACTGCACTCTAGCCTGGCAACAGAGTGAGACTCCGTCTCAAAAATAATTAAATAAATAAATAATAAATAAATGCTTTCTGACCCCTTGGGGGTGATATCTTGGCTTCCTCGAATCCCAGGTTCTCAACCCTGCTTGGGCAGATCGCTGCAGGAGTGTGACATGGGCACCCAGGGCCTGACTCCCAGGGGCCTCCACCATCCTGATCCTCATCCTCAGGCTGACCACCTGGTTGGAACCTCCTTCTTCTCAGCTCAAAGGACCATTGCCCTTGGCCTAGCAACCTGTGCACATTCCAAAGAGTCTTTCTGAGCCAGGACCTCACCCGCCGGGTAGGGAGGGGAGAAGGCTAGGACCCGACTACCTTGGCTACCTGTCTGTCTGTGTGTCTCTGAAGGTGTAGCCCAATGAACATTCCCATTTATGGAGGGAAAATCTAGGAGCCAGATCCTTGGGATATTTGAGCTGGAAGCTTTTTCAGGGTCAGCCCAGCAAGGTTCAGAAACTTGCCCAGAGTCACACAGCAATTTGCGGACAGAGCTGGGACTGGACCTTAGGTCAGAGGATGTCCAGTTCAAAGTGTGCTCTAGTTTGTCCTGGTTACTGCCTACTGAGAGTGATGCGGGGCTGGGGAGCGGGGAGAGATGGGAATGAGAGCTGACCCTAAGGTGTGGGGAGCAGAAAGGACCCAGGGAGCAGGGGAGATCCCAGCTGACCTTTGCAGGTGACAGAGACAGTGGACTCTGTACCTCATTTATTGGGTCCCAGAGGGATGACCGAGGTGACTTCTAGGGAAAAGAAATCCTATCAGCACCTTGGAAGGAGTGCTTCCTGTCTCGGGCTCTGCTCTAAGTCCCTGACATAGATGAACTTATTTGTTTGCTTCCAAGCCCAGAAGGTATAGTTTTTATTGCTCCCACTTTGCAGAAGAGGAAACGGCTTCAGAGAGGTTAAGCAAAACGTCCAAGACCTCACAGCAAGAGGCAGAGCTAAGGCCTGAACCCATATGTGTCTGATTCCAGAGCAGAGCTCTCAGCCACTGACTCCTAAACTGTTACCTTTTGGGAGATATATTGCCTCCATATTACAGAGTTGGAAATCAAGGCTGGTGACATGGTAGAATCTTTGTCAGGTCCAGGAAAATGTTTGGCCCAGATTCTGATGCTCCACTTCCCTTCCCTCTGACCCCACCAGCTGCTTGAGGAGATCTGGAAGGTCAACTTCACTCTCCTGGACCACCAAATCTCCTTCGACCCACACGGGGACGTGGCCCTGCACCTGGAGATTGTCCAGTGGCAATGGGACCTGAACCAGAATCTCTTCCAGAGCGTCGCCTCCTACAGCCCCCTGCAGGGACACCTGAAGGACATCCAAGACATCTCCTGGCACACGGTCAACAACACGGTCAGCCAGGGGGCCTGGTGGGCGGGCAGGCCTGGGGCAGGGCCTGGGACTCATGCTGGAGGGGCTGGGGCCCTTTTCATTATGGACTGAGCCTGGAGATTCTTTATCAATCTCTGCGGGGATCTCTATTTGTGGGTGTATAGTCTGGGGTCCTGTCCTTCCCCCACTGATTGGGAACTATGCATGTTCAGGGCTTTCTAGTTTCCCAGGAAGAGGGGTTGAGGGGCTTTGGCAAGGTAAACACTCACCGAACATGTGTGCACCTGGTCTGGTGCTAAGAATTTCAATTCTCATCTCAACCCTGGGGCTGTGGTTTTTGGCACCAGGGACTGGTTTAGTGGAAGACAATTTTCCCACCACTAGGGGAAGGATAGTTTCTGGATGACTCAAGTGCATTACACTGTGCCTTTTATTTCTATTATTATTAGATTGTAATATATCATGAAATAATTATACAACTCACCATAATGTAGCATCAGTGGGAGCTCTAAGCTTGTTTTCCTGCAACTAGATGATCCCATCTGGGGGTGATGGGAGACACTGACAGATCATCAGGCATTAGATTCTCATCTTTTTTTTTTTGAGACAGAGTCTCACTCTGTCACCATGCTGGAGTGCAGTGGCACAATCTTGGCCCACTGCAACCTCTGCCTCCTGGGTTCTAGCAATTTTCCTGCCGCAGCCTCCCGAATAGCTGGGACTACAGGCATGCGCCACCACGCCCAGCCTCAGGCATTCGATTCTCATAAGGAGTGCCCAACCTAGATCCCTTGCATACACAGTTGACAGGGTTCATGTTCCTGTGAGGATCTAATGCCGCCACTGAGCCGAGAGAGGCAGAGCTCAGGCGGTAATGTGAGCGATGGGGAGCAGCTGTAAACATAGACAAAGCTCTGCTCTTGCTCACCTGCTGCTCACCTCCTGCTGTGTGGTCAGGTTCTTAACAGACCACAAACTGGTACTGGTCTGTGGCCCGGGAATTAGGGACCTCTGCTTTATCAGTAGCTGGTAGGATCTCTATTCGTGAGCATATAGCCTGGGGTCCTGTCCTTCCCCCACTGATTGGGAACTTTGCCTGTTCAGGGCTCTCCAGCTTCCCAGGAAGAGGGGTTCAGGGACCTCTGTAAACACTCACTGAACATGTGTGTGCCAGGCCCAGTGCTAAGGACTTCAATTCTCATATCAACCCTAGGGGATAGATGCTACCATTCTCCCTGTTTTGTAGGTTAGGAAACTGAAGGCACAGAGAGGTTGTGTGACCTGTCTGAGGCCACACAGCTAGCCTGTGGTGGAGGTTCTCTATACACAGCATTCAGGCTAAAGCCTGTGATATGGCTTGGCTCTGTGTCCCCACCCAAATCTCATCTTGCAGCTCCCATATTCCCCACATGTGGGAGGGACTCAGTGGGAGATACTTGAATTGTGCTGGTGGGTCTTTCCTGTGCTGTTCTGATAGTGGGTAAGTCTCATGAGATCTGATGGTTTTAAAAATGGTAGTTTCCCTGCACAAGCTCTCTCTGCCTGATGCCATCCATATAAGGAATGACTTGCTTCTCCTTGCCTTCCACCATGATTTTGAGGCCTCCCCTGCCACATGGAACTGTAGGTCCATTAAACCTTTTTCTTTTGTAAATTGTCCAGTCTTGGGTATGTCTTTATCAGCAATGTGAAAATGGACTCATAGCAGCCTGTCATCGGATACTCATGCTTTAGTATGGTAGCTATGCTGTCAACTGAGTCTGACATCTGTCAATCTAAAGATCCATTGTTTTACCCTGTTTAGAGAATACGCTGTCAGAATTCTGCTGGAGTGTAAAAGGATAGAGACCTGCCTTGTGGAGTTGGGGAGGGGATCTAGGGATCTAAAAACTTCTGGAAGAGCCTTCATCATGCTCTTTTGCTAATAGCCTGCATCCTCTTCCCCCCACTCCCCCCATAGCATACTCTATCTCCAGCTGCAGAGGTACCTGATGCTGTGAGTTCCTGAGTGCTTTGGGGATTTTTGTGGAGTAAGTTAGTGTGGTGTCTGCATTAGTTTCCTGGGGCTGCCATAGCAAAGTGTCACAAACCGGGGTGGGTAGGGAGCTTAAATGAACGAAATTTATTGTCTCATAGTTCTGGAGGCTGGAAGTCCAAGACCAAGGTGTCAGCAGGGTTGGCTCCTTCTGAGGGCTGTGAGATAGAGTCTGTTCCAGGTCTTTCTCCCAGCTTCTGATGGTTTGCTGGCACTCTTTGATGTTCCTTCACTGTAGATGCATGACCTGTATTCATCCATTCTTGAATTGTTACAAAGAAATACCAGAGACTGGGTGATTTATAGAGAAAAGAGGTTGAATGGGCCCACAGTTCTGCAGGCTGTACAGGAAGCATGATGCTGGCATCTGCTTGGCTTGTGGGGAGGCCTTAGGAAACTTACAGTCATGGCGGGAGGCAAAGGGAGAGCCTTGTCATATGGCTGGAGCAGCAAGAGAGAGTGAAGAAGGAGGTACCACACATGTTTAAAGGACAAGATCTCACAAAACTCCCTCACAATCAGGAGGAGAGTGCCAAGATGATAGTACTAGACCATTCTTGAGAACTCTGTCTCCATGATCCAGTCACCTCCCACCAGGACTCACCTCCAACATTGGGGACTAGTTAGACATGAGATTTGGGTGGGGACACAGATCCTAACCATATCACACCCCATCTCTGCTTTCACATGGTGTTCTCCATGTGTCTGTCTCGAAATTCATCCCTTTTGTAAGAACACCACTCATATGAGATTAGGGACTCAGCCTCCTCCAGGATGACCTCATCTTAACTAATTATATCTGCAGTGTCCTGATTTCTGAATAAGGTCACATTCTGGGGATTAGGACTTCAAGCAGGATACAGTTTAGCCCATAACACTGTCTTAGCTTGGGTTTCTCCCAGAAAGCAGGGCCTGAGACAAAGGTTTGTGTGCAGAAGATTTATTCCAGGACATGACACATGGACAGGAACAGGAGTGGGAGTCTGGAGAAAGTTCCACAGGGAAGAGGGAAAGTTGGTCCAAGAGAACATCCTCAAGCCAGACACTACTGTGAGCAACTGGAGCTCAATCTTACTGGGACCTCCTGAAGAGCCACCCTAGCACTGTCTCCCAGAGGAGGCAAAAGGTAATCCACTGACTCCCATTACCTGGTGGTCAAGGGTTGCCCTATGGGGTGTTAGCTCCAGAAGCCTCCTATGGGCATGTCATACTGCAGCCTCAGGGCAGAATACAAGACAGAGCTGTGTAGCCAAGGCCAGGTACTGACAGGTGGTACTTGCTTGAAATTGGTGGCTGCAGCAATGGCTGGAATAAACAGTGGGTAGAGAAAATATAAGGAAGACCACAGAGAGGTCCATTTCTTGTTCCACTCTGGCTTTGCTTGAGTCTGGGGACTCACAGACTTTTCAGAGCAGCAGCCAACTCAGTCTCTATGGAAAGGGAGTTCGGTGGACTTAGCCACAGCCCAAGGTTGTCACTGATATTCACCTCTCTCTTCCGCCGATCATTCTGGATTCCTTCACTCTCAGCCGGCATTTGGCTGCTGTCAGTCACTTGCCTTGGGGGTGATCCAGACCTTCCTCCCCAAGGTGTCTGGGCCCTTAGTTGCCTTACCTTGATGGGCTGTGCCTGCTGCAGATCTCCACCAGCAGGTGCACTGGGATCGAAGCACCCAGGGTTGTCTGGTGAGTCCTTGGATGCCAGACCTACTCCTTCCTACTCCACTCGTGTAGCAACCACACCAGCTCTACCCACGAATCCAGGTCAGCTACCTCTTCCTTTCTTGGCCTTTTCATTCACTGGCGTGAGGACCCCAAAATGACCATGTGGTAATCATAGAGCCCTACAGTGCCTGCTGGTAGAAGTATTCCCTCTTTGGGGACCAGAACCTCTATTCCAGCAGAGTCTAAGATTGTAGAGAGGAGAAGCACCAATGCTACAATGAGCCTATGAGAATAATATTGCATGTAGCCAGTCTTTCTAGTTGCTGGATACACACACTCTAGCTGTTGGGGCCACAACACTATACACCAGCCATTCATTCAATGTCTGTACTTCATCTTAAAGGGCAGTGTCCCACCTTGCACGGGGCCCTGAAGATGGTACCTTAGCTGAGCTTTTAGTATACCATCTCATTACCTGGTTAGATAGGATACTTTTGGGTAATGTGGTATATGTTAGGACCAGTGGAGCCTATGGTCACGTGCCCATGTCACACCCCTTTATCATCAAGTTGACTCGTGATCTGAGGTGATATGGTGTCCTGCGTCAGTAAATCATTTACTCTGTAAGCCCTCAGATGGTGATGCTGCACTGAAATCAGGGAAGGAAAATTCTTATGAGGTTGAAACACTGCCTCCTCCAGAGAGGAAAGGATATGATGTAATAGATCTTTTGGCAGGTGGTTGGCTGGTCTTTTTTAAGAACTGTGCCAAGTCAAGGGCTCAGCATCAGTCTCTGCTGCTGGAAGGTTAAGTGTTCAGCAGTGGCAGTAGCTAGGTCAGCCATGATGAAAGGAAGCTCAAACAGTTTTGGGTTCCTACCTGTAGTCTCCATCCCTGACATCATGGCCATCCTGTGCAGGCCTTGGGGTGGCTGAGGACAGAAGCCAAGTGGCCTCCATTGGACAAGTCAACCCTCTTCTTTTTTTTTTTTTTCTTGAGACAGAGTCTCACTCTGTCACCCAGGCCGGAGTGCAGTGGTGCAATCTTGGCTCACTGCAACCTCTACAACCAAGGTTCAAGTGATTCTCCTGCTTCAGCCTCCCAAGTAGCTGGGATTACAGGAGTGCACCACCACACCTGACTAATTTTTGTGTTTTTAGTAGGGACAGGCTTTCGCCATGTTGTTCAGGTTGGTCTGGAACTCCTGACCTCAAGTAATCTGCCCACCTCAGCCTCCCAAAGTGCTGGGATTACAAGCATAAGCCATGGTGCCCGGCCGAGAAAAGTCAGTCTTTCAATCTGGTTTCTATTGCTCTGTCTTT